ATGCTACTTGAACTAGCCATCAGAAGTTCATGAAAAACGAAAAATCAATGATATTCAGTTTAGTAAAGTAGCAAATAGTCCTACTTATGAGAGAATATAAATCACTTAAGCAATTTGTACAACTTTAAACAGCTGTTTTAAGTAGATTAGTATCGTTATGGGCAAAAATCCCCCAAAATAGCCCAAAATTTGTCCAAAAATTCAAAATTTTCATGCTCAAGGCTGAATTTTTTTGCCTATTTTGCTACATTTATCAGTGCAGTGACAAGAAGTCTTGTGGATAGCGCAACTTTTCCTGAACGTTTCTCTAATAAGATATTTTAATGACAAAATAACTACATTTAGTCTGAAATAAATTGTCACAAAATATAATGACCCCAGGGGTCAAGAGAACCCTATAAAATCAAAAGTGCTGAGGGGATTTGAGCAAAAATGTACATATCACTTCATAAAACCCCGAACTTTAAAATTCATATTGAATAAAATGCATATTCAGTCAACCATGACACTAATAGGGTCAATATAACCTACTTGAGATTTGTTTTGCTCATCGTATAGGAAAAGTAGTACTTAATACACTAGTTCGCTACTTTGTAGATGTATGGCACGTATATGTGTACATGTATTGGCAATTAATGTTTGGTGATAGCTAGTAGGAGTGTCAGGGACCGCTGACAGATTATTATTTTGAACCAAAAAATTGAATTATATTTTTGGCGGTCTCAGTAAATCAATGGGGTAATCAGGTCCTACGTGCTTTTTACAGGCCCAGAAATCAATGCTCGCTTATAAATGTAGCAAAATCTTTTTTCGTTCGTGGGATATTCTTTTCACCATATAACCGAACGGGAAGTTTTTGAATAGGACTACATGATCTGAATGGATGTGAGGATTCGATGGGCTGGGATTTGAGAAATTATGATTTGAACTTTGCCAATTTTACATGTATTCCAATGGGTGAAAAAGTAAGTTGCTTTCTACCTAATATCAACCACATTTATTAGTGAATTTCGAGAAATATGTCGAATTTAGCCATATTTCGCATATATTTCTATGGAACCATTTAAAGTTTTGCAAATTAACCCCTAAAATTCTGGAGACGACGATCTAAATTTTGCTGAGTCAGCAATTTTCGTTTTTTCATTGAAAACAGTACTTTTCAGCCTAAATTGCTACATTTCTGCTCTCTTATCAAGTAATTTGATGCAGTTCTTGCCAAATTAAAGGAAACACACCCCAAACGTTCCACAGTGTGCGAAGTTCCAACATTTTGACCCTTTAAACCCACGAAAGACCCAATTTTAAAGGGACGTATTCAGTAAACCTGCACAAAAGACAATGCTACTTGAACTAGCCATCAGAAGTTCATGAAAAACGAAAAATCAATGATATTCAGTTTAGTAAAGTAGCAAATAGTCCTACTTATGAGAGAATATAAATCACTTAAGCAATTTGTACAACTTTAAACAGCTGTTTTAAGTAGATTAGTATCGTTATGGGCAAAAATCCCCCAAAATAGCCCAAAATTTGTCCAAAAATTCAAAATTTTCATGCTCAAGGCTGAATTTTTTTGCCTATTTTGCTACATTTATCAGTGCAGTGACAAGAAGTCTTGTGGATAGCGCAACTTTTCCTGAACGTTTCTCTAATAAGATATTTTAATGACAAAATAACTACATTTAGTCTGAAATAAATTGTCACAAAATATAATGACCCCAGGGGTCAAGAGAACCCTATAAAATCAAAAGTGCTGAGGGGATTTGAGCAAAAATGTACATATCACTTCATAAAACCCCGAACTTTAAAATTCATATTGAATAAAATGCATATTCAGTCAACCATGACACTAATAGGGTCAATATAACCTACTTGAGATTTGTTTTGCTCATCGTATAGGAAAAGTAGTACTTAATACACTAGTTCGCTACTTTGTAGATGTATGGCACGTATATGTGTACATGTATTGGCAATTAATGTTTGGTGATAGCTAGTAGGAGTGTCAGGGACCGCTGACAGATTATTATTTTGAACCAAAAAATTGAATTATATTTTTGGCGGTCTCAGTAAATCAATGGGGTAATCAGGTCCTACGTGCTTTTTACAGGCCCAGAAATCAATGCTCGCTTATAAATGTAGCAAAATCTTTTTTCGTTCGTGGGATATTCTTTTCACCATATAACCGAACGGGAAGTTTTTGAATAGGACTACATGATCTGAATGGATGTGAGGATTCGATGGGCTGGGATTTGAGAAATTATGATTTGAACTTTGCCAATTTTACATGTATTCCAATGGGTGAAAAAGTAAGTTGCTTTCTACCTAATATCAACCACATTTATTAGTGAATTTCGAGAAATATGTCGAATTTAGCCATATTTCGCATATATTTCTATGGAACCATTTAAAGTTTTGCAAATTAACCCCTAAAATTCTGGAGACGACGATCTAAATTTTGCTGAGTCAGCAATTTTCGTTTTTTCATTGAAAACAGTACTTTTCAGCCTAAATTGCTACATTTCTGCTCTCTTATCAAGTAATTTGATGCAGTTCTTGCCAAATTAAAGGAAACACACCCCAAACGTTCCACAGTGTGCGAAGTTCCAACATTTTGACCCTTTAAACCCACGAAAGACCCAATTTTAAAGGGACGTATTCAGTAAACCTGCACAAAAGACAATGCTACTTGAACTAGCCATCAGAAGTTCATGAAAAACGAAAAATCAATGATATTCAGTTTAGTAAAGTAGCAAATAGTCCTACTTATGAGAGAATATAAATCACTTAAGCAATTTGTACAACTTTAAACAGCTGTTTTAAGTAGATTAGTATCGTTATGGGCAAAAATCCCCCAAAATAGCCCAAAATTTGTCCAAAAATTCAAAATTTTCATGCTCAAGGCTGAATTTTTTTGCCTATTTTGCTACATTTATCAGTGCAGTGACAAGAAGTCTTGTGGATAGCGCAACTTTTCCTGAACGTTTCTCTAATAAGATATTTTAATGACAAAATAACTACATTTAGTCTGAAATAAATTGTCACAAAATATAATGACCCCAGGGGTCAAGAGAACCCTATAAAATCAAAAGTGCTGAGGGGATTTGAGCAAAAATGTACATATCACTTCATAAAACCCCGAACTTTAAAATTCATATTGAATAAAATGCATATTCAGTCAACCATGACACTAATAGGGTCAATATAACCTACTTGAGATTTGTTTTGCTCATCGTATAGGAAAAGTAGTACTTAATACACTAGTTCGCTACTTTGTAGATGTATGGCACGTATATGTGTACATGTATTGGCAATTAATGTTTGGTGATAGCTAGTAGGAGTGTCAGGGACCGCTGACAGATTATTATTTTGAACCAAAAAATTGAATTATATTTTTGGCGGTCTCAGTAAATCAATGGGGTAATCAGGTCCTACGTGCTTTTTACAGGCCCAGAAATCAATGCTCGCTTATAAATGTAGCAAAATCTTTTTTCGTTCGTGGGATATTCTTTTCACCATATAACCGAACGGGAAGTTTTTGAATAGGACTACATGATCTGAATGGATGTGAGGATTCGATGGGCTGGGATTTGAGAAATTATGATTTGAACTTTGCCAATTTTACATGTATTCCAATGGGTGAAAAAGTAAGTTGCTTTCTACCTAATATCAACCACATTTATTAGTGAATTTCGAGAAATATGTCGAATTTAGCCATATTTCGCATATATTTCTATGGAACCATTTAAAGTTTTGCAAATTAACCCCTAAAATTCTGGAGACGACGATCTAAATTTTGCTGAGTCAGCAATTTTCGTTTTTTCATTGAAAACAGTACTTTTCAGCCTAAATTGCTACATTTCTGCTCTCTTATCAAGTAATTTGATGCAGTTCTTGCCAAATTAAAGGAAACACACCCCAAACGTTCCACAGTGTGCGAAGTTCCAACATTTTGACCCTTTAAACCCACGAAAGACCCAATTTTAAAGGGACGTATTCAGTAAACCTGCACAAAAGACAATGCTACTTGAACTAGCCATCAGAAGTTCATGAAAAACGAAAAATCAATGATATTCAGTTTAGTAAAGTAGCAAATAGTCCTACTTATGAGAGAATATAAATCACTTAAGCAATTTGTACAACTTTAAACAGCTGTTTTAAGTAGATTAGTATCGTTATGGGCAAAAATCCCCCAAAATAGCCCAAAATTTGTCCAAAAATTCAAAATTTTCATGCTCAAGGCTGAATTTTTTTGCCTATTTTGCTACATTTATCAGTGCAGTGACAAGAAGTCTTGTGGATAGCGCAACTTTTCCTGAACGTTTCTCTAATAAGATATTTTAATGACAAAATAACTACATTTAGTCTGAAATAAATTGTCACAAAATATAATGACCCCAGGGGTCAAGAGAACCCTATAAAATCAAAAGTGCTGAGGGGATTTGAGCAAAAATGTACATATCACTTCATAAAACCCCGAACTTTAAAATTCATATTGAATAAAATGCATATTCAGTCAACCATGACACTAATAGGGTCAATATAACCTACTTGAGATTTGTTTTGCTCATCGTATAGGAAAAGTAGTACTTAATACACTAGTTCGCTACTTTGTAGATGTATGGCACGTATATGTGTACATGTATTGGCAATTAATGTTTGGTGATAGCTAGTAGGAGTGTCAGGGACCGCTGACAGATTATTATTTTGAACCAAAAAATTGAATTATATTTTTGGCGGTCTCAGTAAATCAATGGGGTAATCAGGTCCTACGTGCTTTTTACAGGCCCAGAAATCAATGCTCGCTTATAAATGTAGCAAAATCTTTTTTCGTTCGTGGGATATTCTTTTCACCATATAACCGAACGGGAAGTTTTTGAATAGGACTACATGATCTGAATGGATGTGAGGATTCGATGGGCTGGGATTTGAGAAATTATGATTTGAACTTTGCCAATTTTACATGTATTCCAATGGGTGAAAAAGTAAGTTGCTTTCTACCTAAGTGTTTAAATATTGATTTAGCTAGACAGAATTGATCTTGTTATGACCCAATTAAGTTTCACTTCCGGTAATGGATCTTGTCAAAAACTTTTATTTTTCTAATATTTTGCTTATTTACACGTTGATTGGAGTATTAAGATGCATTAAGGCCATTTCTACAGAAGGAACATGCGATGGAGAATCGTGTGATATCGAGTTTGATCCATATTCACCCTTAATAAAGTGCTCATACTTGTAAGTTCTTCAGATTTTTTAGTTTGGCAATTTGTTTGTGTTAGGCCTAGGCCCCTCAGGGGGTATAAGCCCAAAATTCAAAGTTGACTTACGCTTATAATGTAAACATGTATTGAGATGACATACATCTCTGGCTGGTCAAAAATCATCAAACAAATGATGTCATCAATGGCAGCTTCAAAATTTTCGAAATGTGCTTGGAATAATATCATATTATGTAATTTCTGCCGTGTAAGGTCTCGGGTAGTTATCAGAAATTTACACCAAAAAGGAAATGAAAAAACCATGTGGATTTTGGAATTTTTTGAAATAAGAACAGAGTTCTGCTTTGATCTTCAGTCAATTATACTACTCCCATGTATCATTTACATGGCCATGATCACAATGGTCATAGTCAAAATGACCCTTACTACAATGCTGAAATAGATTTTTCAGCCATCTGAAAATGTGACTGAAAAAAGTTTAAAGTTAGCGTTTCGGAAAGGTCACTGAACAGAATATTTTGAACTTTTCAGAAAATGTTCCCAACATACATGTATTGCTTTAAATGATAGGAGCTTTGAAAATTTGAATTCATCTCTAGAAATAAAGAAAAATAAAAAATAAATGATCTAAAAAGCTATCTTTTCCCCTTTTATGTCCACAATTTTTGTTTCAGACAATTTTTTTAATTTTCAAAGCTCCTATCATATAAAGCAATATTAAAAAGTTGACTTACAAGTACTTCAGATCGCTATAAGTCTCAGTAGGCAATTATATATTTTTATTATATTTTATATAGGCCTTCTGAGTTCATAACATGTGATGAGCCTGTTGACCATGGAGGTAATGCCACAGCCAGAGATCTACTAGGTTATGGATGTGCAAAGGTAGGCTATACATCGAATGTTCATTCAACTTAGAATTTATCATCCTTGACCTCTTATACATGTATGGATTAAATTAAATAATCCTATCAAACCAAATTGATACACAGTTAGAATCTAAATAGGCTATTGCAGATTTAGATTCTTTTACTAAACCACAATGACAAAGAATATATTCTTCACATCAAAATAAAATTCTGTATAGATGAATGGAGGATATCTTATGATTTATGAGTGATGTGATGTTCATCTATCATGTCTATGAATGGATGCCCATGTCAATATTCATAAAATGATAAGTTTAAAGGAACATTCCTGGCTAAACCTTTTCTATCCTGATGTGATAGCTATAATCATATATATACTTTCCATATTTAGCAAAACATGGAGAAATGTTTTAATATAAATATAGTCAATATTGATCATTTAAAAATGTAGTGCTCATTTCCAGTAAGCTGCCATCTTTTAAGATTTTACTCAGGAAGTGATGTCATCGACTCTCAACTTTCATGACCTTGCATATAACAGTATAGGAAAATAGCACAATATCACTTCTAGACGAGTGATCCTTACTTTATGCACAAAAATATGTTCAGAGCTTGTCAGCTTAGAATAAAAGAAGAGACTTTTAGAAGGATTAAATCATAGACAAAATTGAAAAAGAATATTCACCTAGTTTTGTAATTCTTAATAGCTCCTTATAGTGTTATATGCAAAGTTGAGAGTCGATGACATCACTTCCTGAGTGAAATATTAAAAGATGGCAGCCTACTGGAATTCGGCACTACATTTTCAAGTGATCAATATTGACCATATCAAAACATTTTTCCCTGTTTTGCTAAATATGGAAAGTATATATATGGTTATAGCTACCATATTAGGAGAGAAATGGTCTGGCCAGGAATGTTCATACCTCTTATTAGAATGACTGATTGGCTATTGTAAATGTCAGCCTTGGTTTGAGTAGAGTAGCAAACCACTGTTAACTATCCTGTATTTGATGATTCAGTGACAATTTGCGAAAATATGATATCTTTCCACTGGTTGCAAAATATTCTATTATTGTTTTGACACAATATTCCTTGTATTCATTATTCTATGGAATAATATACAAATATTGAATTCTGTGGAGTTGAATATCTGTATATATTTCTGAAGGTGTATTCACCGCAGCCCGAAGGGCGAGGTGAATACATCCCTAAGAAATATATTTTCTTGAGAGGACTTCGTGATACAACTTCACCGTCTGTCATATCGGATGAAAATACCTTTTACTAAATTCCAGGGAATTCAGTGATGTGACGTCATTTTTAGTGAATACCACTATTTATTCAAATAAAATGAGGTCATTTTTAGTGAATACACTCTTCACACGTTTTCTAAGCAGGGAGACTAGGAATACATTTATATAGTTTTAGTCACATGTTATCTAATTGACCAATGAGAGAACGAGTATCACGGCATGGAAATAATAATGTAATTTATCCCATGATACTACTACTTCCCGGTGAATAACACCCGGGAATATTTCTGATATTAAAAAAATTGTATCGTCCTACCCAATCCCGTTTATGAAAATCATATTCACCTCCCAATCCCGCTCATGAAAATCGTATTCACCTCCCGGGAATTTTTGATAAACAAAGCTTCCTATTTCATTCAGTTGGGTGGATAGAGCGTGCTCTAATGATGTTCTCATGTGAGAAACATATTTTTCCAACAAAGTTCAAAATAGAGATTTTGAAACGTAAGGAGAATGAAGCTATAAAAGCCTATTAACCTCTTGACTACCTGGAGTGACGAGATTTCTCGTCACATCAGAAATGAAATGAAATAATATAGTCTGGCTTTGTTTCATACAAAAATCAGATATGGATATTGAAATACAAATGTAATGAATTTATGGAGAGATTTTCTGAATATCATGGGATAAAAAGCTTATTTACTGGTCGGTATTCAATATGGGTTTATTCCTTGTGACAGTATAATATTTTGCAGGAATTCATGCCAAAATATAATGAAATCTATTTTGTTCAATGGGACCAATTTATCAAGCTATAGTGGTACTTTCCTACAGAAAATATTTCCCACATGGCAAATTCACTTCAAATTTTTGCCTAAAAATGAAAAAAGAGAAAATGGTTGAATTTAATGAAAACATACTGTGGATACACTTAATTTGGCTCCCGTTTTAATTTGACGGATTGGTGGATTCAGAAAATCCGCCAAATTAAAAATCCGTCAAATTTTAGTTTGGAATTTTTGTCCAATGCACTTCAGAAATTAAACTCCAGGGGCCCCTTTTCCTGTCAATATGTCATCAATTCTAGATTATTCCAAAAGTTCATCTACAAAAGTTAAACTTCTGTCCTGATTCCGCCAAATTAAATTGCCACCAATATTTGAAATTGAGCAAACCAGTCAAATTAAGTAGCGCCGAAATAAGTGTATCTACAGTAAGTAGGAATATATTATGGGATGCAATGAATAACTTATTTACTTGTTGTGGATGAACATGGAAATGTTCTTTGGGGAATTATACAGTACGTCTAATGGCACGCCTTACACCATGCCATGTCGTCGGCATGCCGCCCGAATTTCGTGGTCAACTCGAACGCTTTTCGTGGTCACCGCGGGCGCGTCACGAGTGCGCTTCAAGCTCATCGCGGGGTGATTTCATATGTACAGCGGAGTTGGTTTATTCGCGTAGCTTTCGCTCACCATTCGTTGCACGGGCGCCACATTATAATTTCATGTAGTTAAGTGTTTTAGATTCCATTTACTTACCCGATGGGCGAATGGTAAATCAGGTTTAAAACCATTATTATCTTTCAACGTTAAATTACACGATCTTTCATTTCCAGAGGATATTTAGCTCTCTTCCTCATCCCGATAAACATCTGATGAATGTAGATGTTTGCTCCCCATGTACATCACATTATATTATACAATTTATAAGACTCTAAATGAGTCGCTTTAGACGAAAACAAATAATTTAACAAAGTGTTTTTCAAAATGCTTTTTGAATCATCTGTTCCCATTTAACCACAGTACAGTATAAATGCACATATATTTATTGGATCCTGAATTTAATCAATGCGATGAATTTACATGAAATTAACAGATACTGCATGCGAACAATAACAACTATTTACCAATGAAATTGTTTTCATCAAAAAAGGCCACGCGTTAGCGTATCTACATCGTGAATTCTGAAAATTTCGTCCTGAAATTGTGGCGAAGTTGAGTCTCTCTTCTTTTACAAAACATGAAAACAAATAAAGTTTAAAATACTAATTTATTAAAGAAAAGTTAAAGTCCAAAATATCATTTCAATCGGCTACTTACAGTTTTTGGTTTGTCCCGAGTTCACGCAACGAGGTTCTGAGGATTTCAGACAAAATTGCCCCTTTTATACCCAATTTTTTTATGTGGGCCCCACCAAAATAAGGGGTCTTATCCAATGAAATCCCCTAAAAACCCATTAACAAAAATTGGCCGGAAAGAAGTGTGAAAAATTATATGAAGATTAATTATCAACATGCCAGATTTCTGCCCACATTATTTTCTAAAAAGTTGAAAAGTTCCCATTTATTTCAGTTTTTGTTGAAACTTTTGAGACAGGTATGATTAATAACTGAATCCCAGAACCTCGGTTCAGACAATTCTCATGAACTTTTTACCTTACTCATTTAAACCATTAAGTCATTATCTCTTCAAAATACATGTTTTATAATATTTTAAACAATAAAAGTTAGCAAATTCCTTATACATATACATTACAATGTTTTTCATATATCAAAATGTATATTTCACCTACAAAATACTGATTTTTGGTCAATTTGTACATCATCACCCATCAATTTATCATATCCTATTGTTTTACCAAAATGACATCATATACCAATATGTTTTTATGAATCTATGGAAGCTAGACAAAACATCATTAATTGAATATGATAGCTTCTTGGCTTCATTTAAAGTTATACTGTCACTCAATAGACTAGACTTCCCCCTTTCTTGGAACCACTTCTTGCCATTGGCTATGTGATTTACCTGTCAAATCTACCATCAGTCCTTACTATAAAACATGTTCAATTGAATGCAAGATATCTTTATCTAAGTTTAACTTTGTTATTCTGCAACATCCATAGATATTTAAGATTGTGTCATTGAGTTCAAGGTAAAATTGATAAATTACTAAATTAATAACATTTTCCATTTTAGAAGCCTAAATTAATTTTACAAAAATTAAATGGAAGTGAACAATTTCTTCTTGTTTTACATTATGATGTCTTATTCGAAAGTTGTTTATATTCACATGCCAAGAAATGATGTATCTTCAATGTCTACAGTAAACAAAGCTTCCAGTTCCCAAAACATTCTGCCGTTATGATGATATCAGCACAACGGAAGTATTTATCCTAAGATTTCTGTATTTGTAAGCAACATGTAGAGTATTCGAGATTATCATGACCTAAGTTTCAAAAATCCAATGAAAAATCAAACTTTGTCACATTCCTCCCACCTAACAAATTTGTTTGTCCTCAAACAATAAAAAGGATCTAAGAAAATTGCTAACATTTTGTTTCAGTGATTACATATTAATAGCTTAAGTGTACTTAGACATGCCTATTTACAATTTGAAACAAATTTCAATGTATTGTGTACATATTTTCATTTGTTATCGTTGTTAACAAGTTAACTAGCCCAGTTTTTAATGTGGTTATAGTGGTTATAAGTTATATTATTGAGTATAATATTGAGTATGATATAATATATAAAATGCAGTATAATAAGTGTTCAAGTCTCATTCCAGTCATTGGTTTGGCTCATCCTTTTTGGCTTTCTCTTGTCCAGGCTTATGTCTTCTTAAAAATACATTTCCGAGACAAATGAAGTTTTTCGTGAATCTTTTCCTTTCTTAGCACATACATCCCCAGAATTAGAGCAATAACAATGAAGATTACTTGGAAAATTTCTATAATCCAGTGTTGTTCAAA